TTTTGTTTTGGAGTTTTCCCCCCCCCCCCCCCGCCCCCTTTTTTTTCTTTTGTTGTTCTGGGGGTTTTTTTGCTTGCGGTTTTTTTTTTATTGTTTGTTTGCACTTCGTAGGGATCTGCTGTTTGTAAGGTGGTCTCTCAGCTTTATAAGAAGTGCTTGTGGGTCACTGAATCTTCTGGAGTTACCTAAAGAGGCCTTGAGCGCTGTTATTCTTTCCCACCAGGAGGAAGAAATTCTCCAGGCCGGGAGGAGTACAGCTTAGGGTTTTTTTGCTTGCGGTTTTTTTTTTATTGTTTGTTTGCACTTCGTAGGGATCTGCTGTTTGTAAGGTGGTCTCTCAGCTTTATAAGAAGTGCTTGTGGGTCACTGAATCTTCTGGAGTTACCTAAAGAGGCCTTGAGCGCTGTTATTCTTTCCCACCAGGAGGAAGAAATTCTCCAGGCCGGGAGGAGTACAGCTTAACTGGGTGCAAAGTGCCGCCCCACTTGCTTTTGCACGTAAATATGCAAAACTGGCTTGTGGGGCGAGAGGTGCGGGGAAGTGTTCAGTTTTTTATACTAAGAATATAAGCTTAGCGAGGTGGTCGCAATAAGGAAACTTGGTATGAAATACAGTCTGACAAATATCAACAGATCCTGCTAGATCTATAATTGATTTCATTCTTTGAAATGAGTTCATAGGTGTATAATAATTTCTAAGGGTTTACCTTCAATTTTTACACTTTTTTTTTTTTTTCTCTCTTCTGGTCAGGATTGCTGCATCATGGTTATGCTGTGCAAAGTTGGGAGAGAGAAAAGTTGCTTTTGCGATTTTTAGAGTTAGTAATCTCCAAATACAGCTATTATACTGAAGTCTGGATAATACATGTTTAAAGTGCTATCATACGTACTTGAATTAACACTAAAATTTACAGGAGATCTTAATTTAGTTTTGCAGGTAAGCTGTCATGTTTGTTACGTTTTAAGTTTTTTTGTAAGAGCTACTCAGAACAAACCTTGTACAGGTCTATCATTGATACACCTTTAGCTTTATTTTTCTGGACAAAATGTCTAGTTTATTCTTGCATTCTTATGTTGGCCAACATAATTCCACTACTGGCAAATTACTGTGGAAGACTGAGTGTTGCTTAGTCTGTTTACTTCTTTAACAGAAAGTAAGAGTATACAAATTCATTCTGAACAGTAAAGTTGTTTCCTTTCTGCAATGTAACGCAGTAATGGCTTGTGTATTCCCGCTGTACCACAGTCTTCCTATTTTGGACTCAGCCCATTCTGTCTTCCAGCCCCCCACCCCCAGGTAACTGTATACTTCCGGGCTTAGACATACATAGATCTTCCCACAGAAAGCATCACACCTTTATCAAGTGCCTCTTACAGAAGGTGCAGTCTTCAGGAAGCTTCTCAAGTTTTACATGTACGTGAGTCCATAACATAACAAGCCTGAGATGGCAAGTAATTCAGCAGCTTAGTATATGCCACACTTTGGTTTTTTTTCTTTTTCTTATTCCCCCATATAAATGTTTACCTGCAGATACTGTATTTTGTATTGGTATACTGGTTGGGCTTAAATGGACTCTCTTTTAAGACTATTCTAAATTTACCCTCTTTGGATATACATCTTATTACAAGAGGACTGTGGTAAGGAGGTGGGCATCCAGTGTATCTAAAGACTTTGGAGATCCTTACAAAACATCTGAGCATACTTGTGTCACTTCTAATAAAAAAAGATAGAATAGCAGTATATTTAGTATAGCAATAGAATGATGAAGACCTTGTAATACTGAAATTTTCCCTCTTTTTGAAGGTCTGACCAAATTTATCTATGTAGTTTTACTTGGTTAGATTTCACATCCATAGAAACTCCATTAGCCTAATTAGGCAGTTATGTAAAGATGGACATCTTTAGTACCATATTTATAGAGAGGAAAGATAAGACCAAATCTTTTAAAGAATTTACATTCTTGCAAGATTAAAACTGAAATCTAGAACCCAAGGTAGGCATC